TCTTTTAATTCTATTACATTAATTTAAATATTTTTTTTCATCCTCAAATATTTGGGATGCCAAAAATAATTTGGGATGCCAAAAATAATTTGGGATGCCAAAATTAATTTGGGATGCCAAAATTAATTTGGGATGTCAAAATTAATTTGGGATGCCAAAAATAATTTGGGATGCCAAAATAAATTTGGGATGTCAAAAATAATTTGGGGTGCCAAAAATAATTTGGATTTGGGATTTGGAATTGGGATTTGGGATTTTGGCATTTGGATTTTGAATTTGGGTGGCAGGTATACCATGCACATATCAGATACCTGATGTGTGTATGATTTATTAATTTTCGACCAGTGTATATATATATATATTTTTTTAATAAATAAATAAAATAATAAAATATTTTTTTATCAGAAAAAAATAATTTTTGTTTTTATTTTTTTTTAATTAGTAATAATTGATTAATAATAAATAAATTTTGTCATCCATATTATTTAATTAAAAAAAATAATAAATTCACAATTACAATAAAGATTCCATTGTTTAAGATACTCAAATTTACTATTTTGATAAATCTAATGGTTAAATATATTTTTGATTTATATAAAGATAAAATTCATATCACATCTGTTATAATTATTTGATTGATATTAATAATTAAATAATAAAATAATGAGAAAATTTTTTTTACTTTACAATTATATTTTTTATTTCATTGTTACTATTTTTTTTATTAAATAATAGTAAAAAAATAAAAAAAACAATTTTGTTTCTGCCTGATTTCTTTTTTCTATGTATTCTACATTTTTCATATTATCATTTTGATCTGTTGTACTCAAGTTCAATAATAGAAATGTAAGCTTTGAAATCTTTGGATTACTAGATACCTTTGTTATATTAGATTTTTGTTTCTTACCTCTTGTCATGTTGGTTAGGATCAATTTCGCAATTTTAGTTAATTGCTGTTGAGGTGACAATACTTCTTTTTTCTCTCAAGCATATGTAGATTTTAAACTGAATGACAGTGGTGAATCGAAATTGACTTGTATAATCTTGATCAACAATAATTCACTAAATAGGATCAGTGATCCTGTTACATACACAAAAGATCCCCAAGTAATTTTAATAGTAATTGGGAGAAGGTGATTTTTGAATATAAAGTAATATAATTTGAATAACATTGACCCAGTTGTTTTTTCATTGATGTACTCCTTGGTTGTTAAATCTAAAGTAACTTTGTTATTATTAATATCAGATCAACTTGATATCACTTCTGTCATTACGATGGATAAAGATAACTTTAGTAATTCTTCTTCTTCAAAATTTAATAATACTATTTCTGACATAAGTATTTGTAATTAATAGAAATAAGAATACCAATAGCATAAATATTTTTATATGCATAAATTTTCATAACTTTTGAGAACATTATGTATATTCTTTTTACCTTAATTATTTTCACCTTTGCATTATTAACATTTGTTTCTATCACAAAGAATTTTCCTTGCATACTTATAATATCACCTTTTTCAAAGTGATCAATATATTCACTCTTTAAAATATCTTTAGGATAAAAAGCAGTTATATGAAGAAAGATGTTTTCACTCTGAGACTTAGAGAAAATGATTCCTACAGCATTGACAATGAAATTGTTTTTCTCAAAACTTCATTACATTGATCAACATAACAAATCATGTTTATGTTACAAGGTATCCTTCTTTTTTTTTATTATTATTATTTATTATTATTTTTTTTTAATTTTTTTTGTTCCTAAAAAAATGGATTCAGCAAGCCAAAGTAAATCAGACTTCTATTTATAAGAAAATACAAAGAAATATTTTTTAGTACATATAATCTACAGAGAACAATAGCAGATTCTTTTAGATTGTGTTACATCAATAATTATCAACAACAAATATTTGTAATAAAATATTAAATAATTGAATATATTTTTAATTAGTTATAATAATGACTAATATTTGTAATAAAATATTAATAATACACTTCAAAACAATTGAATATTATAAAATATCAAATAATCGATTATTTAAAAATATATTAATAATTTTTTTAATCTCAGCTAAAGCTTATTACGTAATACATTAAGTACTTGTAACAAAAATGAAAACTTCAAAAAAATAGAAATATATTATATAATAATATCAAAAATAAATGTTTGTAATCAAATATTAATAAATAATTGAAAAGTAAAAAAGTGTATTATTAATTTTTTTTAGATTTTTTAATTTCTGTACTAACGAAAATTAAAAATATATTACTAATTTTTTTTTATTAACTATTAATTACTAAAAATATATTATATAATATATTAACACAAATTAAAAAAAAAAGATATATATTAAAAGCACCTTCCGTTAAAAAAATTTTTTCTCTTTTTTTTTCCTCTTTCTCTTCCTCTTCTTCTATCTCAACAACAACAGATTAATTAGTATCAGCAAAAACATCAATAATAAATATACATATATACAAATTTATATTATATTTTTATATAATATATATAATATTAATATATATATATAATATAATATAATATAAAAAAGGACGAAGAATGCCGTCGTACCACTAACCACATAAAGAAATTTTTTTTAAAAAAGGAATTACATCTGTAACACTAACACAATAAAATACAAGGTAATACTATTTCTTCAACCAGGTTTCACAAAGACCTCAAAATGTAATATACTTTAATTAAAAAGTAATTAAAAGGATGATAATAATGATAACTAAAGTAAAGAATATTAAAGGAATAATAATTAATGAATATTAATAATTAAGAGTAATTTTTAAAGGTAAAAAAAGGGTAATTATCAAAAGTAATAATTAATTAAAATTAAAAAGTAATAATTAATTAATCATATTAAAGTTATAATTAATTAATAATTAAAGTAAAAAAAAAAAAATCATTTAAATATTATATTACACTATATCATTTTTATTTTTTTAAAATGGTTTCAATTGATAAGTTAACTAGAGAAGAACTTACTTGAATAATTGCTCAAGAATTACATATCGTTGTCGGTTTTGCTTTTCTGTAGAAGAACAAACTGGGGCTACGGCTTGTTGTGTAGTGAGTACCTTTATTATTATTATTATTATTTTAAAAGTCACAAAAATAATATTATTCCTTTTTTTTCGTGGTGGTTGATTATAGCTTCCAAACATTGGCTAACTGCTTTGAGACAAGCAAAATTCCTGTATTAAAAAATATTCCAATTCTCGTTCTACATTAAATCTCAATAATAATAATAATAATCACCATAACAATAACAATAATTCTTTTGATCAAACTAATAATGATTATCGTCAAGCTCCTATTAGTTAGCGTATTTTTAAAATGTAAATTATAAGGTTTGTTAATTTTTATTTTATTAATTAAATTAAAAATTCATTAAAATTTTTAAAATTTATATTAATAGTAAGCCACAGTTATGCTCGAAAATCTCATGGAAATAATGGAAATAATGAAAATAATGGAAATAATGAAAATAATAAAAGTAATGAAAATAATGAAAGTAATGAAAATAATGAAAGTAATGAAAGTAATGAAAGTAATGAAAATAATGAAAGTAATGAAAATAATGAAAGAAATGGAGCTAATGCCAATAGCAGTAAAATTATGACAGTAATAACAGCGATAAAAGTAATAACAGTGATGACAGTAATAATAACAATAATAACAACAACAATGATATTCAACTTTGAAGAAGAAATGGATTTACCATTAAGATATTTTCTCAAAGAAAAAATTGAAGGAAAACTTGTATTAAGGTTAGAAGAAATTAAAGCACAATATGAGAATTATGCTTCACTTATTCCTGATGAAGATTTTCAAAATGTAAATGGATCAAGTGATCTACAAATTCAATTTATTTAAATAATATACTTATATATATATTTATTTATTTAATTAATTTTAATTTTTAATTATTAAAGAAATTCGTGGAAAAATTTATGGAAAAATTATATCCCGAAAGTGCATATTTTAGAATCTTACCAAAATCTTCAACCACCTCCGCTTCAGAAGAAGATACTTTAAATAGAATTATGTTCACAACCTGATTGGGGCAGATATGCCATGTTAATAACTACTAGTCCTAATTTAATAGATGTATTTGCTGTATTGGAATCAGATCGAGATTATTATTTTATGGCACCTTATCGAGGAACAACTTTACAAGATTTATTAAAATATAGTTCAGGAGTATTAAATTCAAATGTAAAGAAATCTTTTATATTATATCAATTATTAAGGACTGTACAGAATTTACATAAGAGAGATTTAATATTTATTTTAATGTTTTATTTAATATTTTATTTAATATTTTTTATTTAATAAATAATTAATTTTGTGAATAATAGACTCAAGCCATCTAATATACTTGTAGATGAAAATTTATGGATTACACTTAGTGGATTTGAATGTTCTATTCCTATTACTGTTGGTGGTTCAGGTTTGCAAATATTTATTATCTTTATATAATATTTAATTCACTATATAAATATAATTAATTCATTAATGATAAATATTTATTTCATTTATGGATCAAGTATCACAATCAATTAATAATGATTATATATTGAATCTTCCAAAAGGTAAAATTTACAAAATTTAATTATTATTATTATTATTATAGGAACGATAAACAATATACATATTTTAATTAAATAATTTATTCATTTATAGAAATTAAAGATGATTCGCTTACGATGGAGTAGGTGCGACAAATTTTGATTATATTTTGGCATTAAATCATCTTGCAGGTCATTATTATAATCATTATTATTTAGTTGATTTAGTTAAAAATATATTATTTTTTTGTGATTTCAGGGCGTCGAATTGATAATCCTAACTTTCAATATTTCCTTGGGTTACTGATTTCACTGGTTCATCTGTGTCAGAGAATTGGCGTGATTTTTCCAAAACAAAGTTTAGGCTTAATAAAGGCAAGGCAAATATATATATTTATATGTGCGTTTTTTTTCTTTAGGAATAATTTCTAATATTTAATTTTATATTTTAATTATATTTTTAATTATATTTTTAATTATATTTTTAATTATATTTTTAATTATATTTTTAATTATATTTTTA